CCTTCCTTCCTTCCTTCCTTCCTTCCTTCCTTCCTTCCTTCCTTCCTCCTCCCTCCCTCCCTCCCTCCCTCCCTTTTTTCCTTCCTTTCCACTTCAACCACATTTCTGCTGCACGTATTCATCTAGACACAAAGGAGACAAACGATACTTTTCCTTGTGTTCATAGGACATGATCCGAAACAAAGCAAGGAACACTCAAAACTGCGCCCTTCTGGAACAGGCCTACGCCATTGTTTCCGCACTCAACAGGCGAGCAGAGAACAACCTTCATATTTCTCTCATTGAGAACTACCCTGGAACTCTGGAAATATTAGGAGAGCCTATCCGGCAGGTAAATGAAAGCTAGGCGTCTCATTCACACATCTGCCTGCTAAGTTTCTTCCTCTTTCTGCTGAACCCCAAAATATGTTTTTCAATTAGACCCTGGTGATTTGGGGTGGATAAGTTCTTTTATCAAATTGTAATGAAGCTGCTCAAAGTCACATGACTGTGAGATTAAAAAGCTAGTTCATTCTAATGGTTAAGGAACCAGGCTAGAAACAAGAGGTCCGTGGGTTCTAGTCCCACCTTATGTATAACTTTGGGCCAATCATCAGGAATTGGTGAGTTTGGGCCAATCATCAGGAGTTGGTAAGTTCTAGTCCCACCCTAGCATGAAAACCTGCTGGGTTACTATCGGCCAGTCACCAGGAGATAACGAGTTCTAGTCCCACCTTCGGCACGAAGGCCAGCTGGGTGACTTTGGGGCAATCACCAGGTGTTGGTGAATTATAGTCCTGCCTTAGGTATGAAAGTTGGTTTAGTAACTTTGGGCCAATCCTTCTCTCTCAGCCCAGCCCACCTCATAGGGTTGTTGTTATGTGGAAAATAGGAGGAGAAGGTGTGTTGCATATGTTCGCCCTGTGAGTTATTTCTTCTTTGCAAAGAGGAAATCAGACTTTAAAATCCTTCCTTTCTTTTCAACAATTCTTGACGATTTGTAACAAATAACTCAAACTCTAATTATGACTGGAGATAAAGTCTGTTGCTCCAAAGGGCAGATCCAGAAGCAAAGGGTCAAAATTCTCACTAGATTATAATAGAACTTTCTGATGATGTGACTTATAAAGCCTGTGGAACTCCCTGCCACGTTTTGCTATTTTTTTTTCCCCAGGGACAGTTCATTGTGTGGGAAGGTGCTCCGGGGGCGCGTATGGCTTGGAAAGGACATAAGCGCCATGCCTTCCTCTTCAAGGGTTACCTGCTCGTGTGCAAGCCAAAACGAGACACGAAGATGGATACTTACAGCTATCTGTTCAAGAACATGATGAAGGTTGAATACGCCCTTCCTTAAGGGTTGTCTTTCTCTGGCTACTTTTTGGTATCTAACTAAAATGAGGTTAAGCTATCAGAACAATACTGAATTATCCATTGATGTACCTTTAGATACCTTAAATCTCACAGCAATGCAGCAGGTTGGATCTGGGGTTTAAGGCGTTAGGCTAGGAACTGGGAGATTGTGATTCCTAATTCTGCCTTAGGCATGAAAGTGTGTGGGTGAGTTTCGGGCGAATTGCCAGAAGAGAGTGAGTTCTACTACCAATTTAGGCACAAAAGCCAGCTGAGTGATTTTGGGTTAGTCCCTCTCTCTCAGCTCAGCCCATCTGAAAGGGTTGTTGTTGTGAAAATAAGGAGGAAGCATTAGGTACGTTTGCCACCTTGAGATATTTGTAAAAATAATAAAGATGGGAAATGGATGGATGGATGGGCGGGCAGATTGACTGACTTACTGACTGACTGACTACTATACAGGTAGTCCTCAATTTACGACCACAACTGAGTCCCAAATTTCCATTGCTAATCAAGATAACTGTCAAGTGAGTTTTGCCCCATTTTATAACCTTTCTTGCCACAGTTGTTAAGTGAATCCCTGCTGTTCTTAACTTAGTCACACAATTGATAAAGTGAATCTGCAACTGTTAGGAATCCATGCTAGTTGCCAAGCATCTTTTTTTTAAAAAAAAAAAAAAACAAGTTTTATTTTCAAGACAAACAATACATAAATACACATAAACACAAAACATAAAAGCATAAAAAATCTCTTTTCTGAAAGTTGCTTAGTCCCGGGTTAAAACTCTTGGTACAGACACAAATTCAAATTCATATTCATTTTACATACCATTTCATATCTTATTAACATTTT